TTTTTTTCTTTCTTTCCCAACCACTGCTGTAGTCTCTCTTGTTTATTTTGCTGTTCGAGCTGCCACTGTTGCAGGTTTTCTTGCCACTGCTGTAATCTCTCTTCTTGTTTATTTTCTTTCTTTTCCAACCACTGCTGTAGTCTCTCTTGTTTATTTTGCTGTTCGAGCTGCCACTGTTGCAGGTTTTCTTGCCACTGCTGTAATCTCTCTTCTTGTTTATTTTCTTTCTTTTCCAACCACTGCTGTAGTCTCTCTTGTTTATTTTGCTGTTCGAGCTGCCACTGTTGCAGGTTTTCTTGCCACTGCTGTTGTCTCTCTTCTTGTTTCTTTTCTTTCTTTTCCAACAACTGCTGTAGTCTCTCTTGTTTATTTTGCTGTTCGAGCTGCCACTGTTGCAGGTTTTCTTGCCACTGCTGTTGTCTCTCTTCTTGTTTCTTTTCTTCTTCCTCCAAAAACTGCTGTAATCTCTCTTTTTGTTTATTTTCTCGTTCTTCTTGTATCTTTTGCTGCTCTTGTATTGCTGCCATCAAATCTGCTTAGTCGTAGTTTGATTTGCCACTTCTCGTTTCTATTTTTTTTTATCCCACTCTCTGACACCAATTTGTTGCGTATCTGCTCGTTTGTTAATTTTCTGTAAAAATTACAAAAGCAATACAAGTTCTTTTCTTAATTAAAACTAGTTTATTCTTTCTCGTTACAATTTTATAATACACAGAATTTCCACAGTCAATATGTTTGCAATCTCGATAACAAAACACACACTTTATATTACCGTCACTACCGCTCACTTGACTCAATTATCTGTCTCTATATCTATCTATCTGCAATTATTTGCCGGGCTTATATACGAAAAAAGAGGGCGCTTAGAACAGATTAGAGTTGCTAGGAAAAGTCATGATCCTTCTAGAAACTCCAGCGCGCATGCTTTAAGCGTCGCGTGACTTCCGCTGTTGTAACAATACCACCACCTCTAAACTTCGCTGTTGGGACAACACATTTAGGTAATAAGCATTCTCCAGGCATCCTCCATACCTAAACACGTCCATCAGACAGGAAGAGTGTGTAGCGTGACTCGTTGCTCCACAGGATCGATTTCCATTGACCGACAGTCCAGGTTCGGTGTGCCTTGCCCTATGCCAATTGACGGTGTGCATTCGTTTTTGTTATTAACGGCTTGTGGGCTGCAGCTTTTACGTGAAAATTCATGGCATGCAGCTCTCGACGTGGCGTGGAAACACTTATAGGATGTAAATGCATGCTATAAACACTTATAGCAGCTACTCGAATTTCCAAACACTGATTCTCTAGGGTCTGACGGCGAGATGAGGTAACCAGCCCTCTCAAGGCGTGTCGGCTCCTGTCAGTCAGTATTTTACGCCTACCTGGTCGTTTCTTGGGCTTATTGTCACCTGTGGACTTCCATTTCTTCAGCACGTTGCCAACTGTCGACCTGGGAATGTTTAATTGTTGCGCAATACCACGTACAGACATTTTCCCCAAATGACATCCAACTATCCTTCTCCCCTGTTAGCTCTTTCCGTCTATTCATCGTTCGGCGAACAAGATCAAAATGACTTCCTAGTGAGCCGCTGATCACCTTTATAGGCCAAACTATTTGTATATTTCGTCGACACCCATTTTCCTGCGATCAAAGGTGTGTCCCATGACTTTTGGTAGGATATTGTATACATGCATAAGTAACTACTATCAATTCTAGAATTCAAATATATTGTTAGATTGTTGATTTAAGAACTAAAACGTGCTTTACCTTTAAAACCTGTGTACTTGAGAATGATCGAAACGTTGTATCTGTTCTAAAAATAAAACTGTACAAGTAAGTTGATTTGTTTTTATATAGTATAGTAAAGTTAACGAAATTTGCACATAGGCAACAATTTATGGCAGTGCACAAGTGTTCAAGCTTCTAGACACGTTAAAGGACAAAATAAAATAGTTTGTGATTGTTATGAGGACTGGACGTTTCACCAGATAAATTAAAAGATCCCCCACAAAACAACAACATGTTGCTCCCTCCACTGGGGCCCGGCATGGCTAGGTGGTTAGGGCACACAACTTGCTATCTGCGGGTCACGGGTTCGAATCCCAGTCCCATTAAACATACTCGCCCTTTCAGCCGTAAGGGTGTCATAATGTATTTCCGGCGTATAAAAACATCGCTAATAAAAGGTAAAAAACGTTCTCTCTCATTTACTCTAATCCTGCACAAAATAATTTAATATGACGTGGCTGTTGAAGATTCCCTCTTGTTTATAAAAAAGAAAAGTACATTTCTTAATTTTTCACTTTCATTTTAAAAGAGTATTACATTGTAAAATGTGGCGCTAATGAGTTTCATTATATTAGGCATTTTTCTTCCAAAAATAAAATTGAAATTCAAAATACATCACGCAAATAATTTACTATATGTATAGCATCTTGTAACGTTAGAGCATCTTATTGTAAACATGCATCTAAGGAAAACAAGATGTTTAAATAAAATTTAACCATGGTGCTTTTCTTCGTTAATCTTGAATCCAATAGCCACAAAGACGGAGATGCTGGTATAAAAATAAACATACTAAAATGCCGAATAAATATATAAACAACTAATCTTTATTAACATTGGGAAAATACTGAAAGTTTGTACATCACAGCTGTTCCTGACAAAAAATGACACATCATTTATACAATGTACTTTTGTGATTATTTTAGCAAGTTGAAAGAATACATATACATTTATTTATATTGAGATAGCCACACATAAATTAATTCTAGAAAAGGTAAAATACAAACTTCTGAAAGCATCACACTTCATAAATTTTTAAAATGTAGCCATATTAAAAAGAAAATTTGTAATAAGGTTTACACATATATATATATAGACATTTATGTCTCTATAAACTCTTAGTACTTTCCAAAAACTTTCTGATCTTGTATATAACAAACACATGCTTAATAAATTTATCAAACTGCATCACCCACAACAAGTTTTATATACAAATGTTCACATACCCAGCTAGGAAGTCATGATTAATCCCTCAATAGGTATGATATTATATGAAAATACGGTAATAGATATTGAAATCACAACATTCTTTTTTTATTTCTATTTCTTTTATTTCTTACTGCAATAATCCAGTTTTCTACTACCTTGTTAATTAACACAGTAACTTTGAATCACATTAAAACTACATAAAATCAGCCCAGAAATAAGCTTAATATAATTTCACCCAATTTTTTTTTCATGCTGCCATCTAAGATAATTTTTTATTCAATAATATATATAGAATGATATTATGGGTTAAAATTAATACCAGTCTTCTTATGACATATCACACTTATTATTCATTTACATGGATGTTTGCAAGCCATTAATAACAGTATTTTCACTTAGCAAACAACAAAACTAATACCTATAATAATAATAATTTCATAATATTTTAGTAATATTGTAAATAAATACCAGTAAGTGATGAAAATAACTTTTGCCAAAAATATTCTGTCATTTTTTAATTGTCATGATTAATTATATTTTATATTGCATAAACATCATAATTATGCAACATTAATATAACAATAATGTGAACAGTACTTTCAAACTACTGAGAATAAAGACTTACAAAAATGTAACATCAAATAAGTATACTTGTTTTGAAGACCAAAACAGTAATTACCTATAAATGTTTCATGTATTACCTTACTTCATCATTTTATAATATCTTATCTATTACTGATTTAATTCACTATTCTAATTCTTAGAAATTAGCTATAATAACTAAATGTAACCATTTCAGTGACCTTCCAGTAGACTTTATTGAATGAATGTGACTACTTGAAATGAGTGACTTGGGAATAAAAATTTATCACTTGAAATAAGCTCCAGATCATCTAGCTAAGGTTGTTGGTTGTGTGTTTAGAGCAAAGCAACATTGGGCCATCTGCTGTGTCTACTAAAGGGAATCAAACCCCAATTTTAGCATTGTAAGGCCATAAACTTACTGCTGTCTTTCCAAGGGACCTCTAGCTAAGGAGTAAGTTTTATTTTACAAAAAAAACATTTCTATAAAACAACTTTTTTTTTGTTGGAATATTTTGTAAATACAGACAAACAGATTAGTCTCATTTTTGATAGTAATCACAATACACAAAAAATGTTTACCTTATTCAGGTAGAAGAAAACCTATCTTTTACACTCATCTATAAACTACACAAGCTACTAGTTCAAGGCATAGACCAACATATCACTAAAATAATCATAGTCCTGTGCTAGTTACATACCATACTGCTTAAACCAAATAATAATTAAAAAAACAAAACAAACCTGATATTACAGAACAATAGTGGCATTGGCGTATAACAGATTGTTTAAACAATCCACAATTATGTAATATGTTATGCTGAGTCAGAAGTAGAACAAATTTTATATGAGAATACACAGAATCACAGTTTTCTTGAAACTCAAACCATAGATATTTGGCTATAATTCAATAAAAGCACAAGAAAATATCTTGTGTTTCAATATAGCTGTCTCTTGTTTGTTACAGTCGTCATCAGATATAGGTTTCAAGGATGAGTAGTTACCTGCTAGAGGATGTTTGTTGGATTTTGCACAAAGCTGTTTAAGGGCTACCTGCACTAGTTATTTCTACTTTTGAAGCAATAGACTAGAGAGAAGACAGCTAGTCAACAACATTCACCACCAACTCTTGGGCTACTATAATCAAGTAGTGGAATTGGCCATAACATTATAATGCCCATACAGCTGAAAGGATGAAGGTTCTTAGTAATGGGATTTGAACCTGTGACCCACTGATTGAATGTTAAGTGCTCTAACCACCAGGCTATGCCAAGACATTAGAAGGTACAGAATGCGAGATATTATTAACTCACATAGTTACTTTGTTGAATTCTCCAATTTAAAAAAAAAATCATACTTATACAGGTTACCATGCAAAAACTATTGCATTACAAGCTGAATTATATTGTTATAACGTACATTTACAGAATTATCCATATTAATGAGAGATTTTCTAATTCAAACATAATATAGAAACATAAAAGTTTCAAATAATGGTAACAAAGTAAAATTCCTTTGTAAATCAGAGACTAAAATAATAAGCTATACATTGTAATTATTCACAAAAATACTCATAAGCAACGAATCAAACAAAGTCCATTAGTGAAACACTTAATATTGTAAAGCAGAATTGGAATCTCAATCTTTACCATTTCATTACAGAATTTTCATGCATATGTAGCAATGATCAGTGTCTTCAAACAGATAAATATCAACACAGTGAATCATAAACAAGAGGTATAAAAAAAAGTTTTAATAAAGCACTGATTAATTAGTTAGTTTTTGTACAAAAATATTGGCATTTTATGCACAAGGTTTAATGAAGGTTACAAACTGCAAGAATTTCAGTAAACTCAAAATGGAATGACCAATGAAAATTAAAACTGTGTTCAATAAATCACTATGGAATAAGGTTTCTAGGAGATTTATCCTACATTATTGAGCAGTCTTGACAGCTAGTTTATATATTTTTCTGCTCTTATTAGCTAGAACAGCTTAATAAATTATGTATATACTAAAAAGACCTTATCAGCAGTGGTGAATGTACTTGAAAAAAAAAAATCATTGGATATTTCTTGCTAGAAGCTTATAAAGGACTTGCTAAAACTCTGAGGTGGAAACATTATTAGTGAACTTTAATATTAAATTTTACCTTGTAACTTAAAACATTTCCATGAGAAAGTTTTGGTGATCTATGCCATTGATGTATGGTGTAGACAAAATATCACAATTTTTCATTAAAGCACAAATACGAAGATAAACAAGTAAGAAAAACTTTAAGACACAGAAAATGAAATAACATATCTATATGCAAATGTAAGTATAATTCTCCTTACACAAATCTGTTTTAATGATTTGTTTTTTTATGAAGTGATAGTATTTTTATAATTTTTACAAAGCAACATAAAAAAAACAGTTATGGAAGGTTAACTATTATGAAAAAGCCTATTTCAGTAAAATAAGTAAATAAATAAAGGAGGCTTATTTTTTATGATTTAACACTCCCACAGCGTATATATATACAATAACAATCACTTTATAGATTTATGCAATCTAGATCTCATTCATTCAACAAATCATGCATGTCTATTTTTATAACTAGAATATTTTTCTTTAATTTACAGTAACAAATAATAAAATAAAAGGGTGAAGCTTTTATACATTCACAAGCAAGATCTGAGTATTAAAGCATCATAATGGTAAAATATTCAATTGTTGAGTGTAACATTGTTACTTACTGGTTTAATAAATTTTCAATTATAGCAAAACTGAGAAACCAATAAGCAATATATTCACAAATATACAAAACTAAATACATCATACTGCAGTTCAACAGATTACAACAGAAGCATAAAAATGTTTCTGCTTATTCCTCAGAGCCCATAACAGACTAAATCATTAACATATCTTTACTTCAAAAGCAGTTAAATTAATATTTTTAAACACTATCACAGTTTCTAGAATTAAAAAATACACTTTCTTTGACAAGTAGAAAAAAAGCAACAGACTGAGGTGAAATGCACTTACAATGACAATTAAGAAAATAAACTTTCTTACATTGAGTATTAATTTTAGTATCACTAAAAGTTATTGTTAAATTCACACACTACTTTCAACCAATAGTAGCTTAAACTGTATTTACCACTGGAAATCACTGAGATTGAGAATGATTTTGAAGCTTTAGAGAAATTGAAAATAATTCATAAACCTATATAGAAATGCTAAACATGAAAGGCAATGATTTAAATGTAAAGTGTCATATTTATGAAGCATGTTGCTGAATGTTAGTTTCAAGGGTGGGAAGTATACCACTGATCCCCCCCCCCCTCTTGATTATAAATTACAATCTCAGTATTAACTTTTATCAGCAATATTAACACAAACAGCTTCAAAATTTCATAAAATGTAAGAATGATATTGACTGCCAGATTTTTCGACAGAAAAACCTGGCAATAACAGTAAAGTGTTGTCCATTGTTAACTTTCGGAAAGTAACAATTATCTATTTAACATGTGTAAAATGAAGTTCACACATTTACAAAAACAAATAAGAGTTAAATGCTTAACTTCTCTCTAGTTTTTTTGCTATCATATCATTCTTATTAATCTATATTTACGGAAGCAACAATTTTATGAAGAACTATTATCATAACAACCAAAAATTTATTTTCTGAAAATACATTATGTATGTCTTCTTTTTAATATCATATATCAGTGGTGTAGGAATGAGTTGCAAAGTGGGGGTGATTAGCTACACATGCAGAAACAGTTCTAATGTTATACATATAGTTTAGTATTGTAAAGAATACAAAGTATGACAACAGTCTTAATATAACACCTGCTGTAAAACATTACAAATTATTTTTCAACATTACATATCTTTGTCTTATGAAATGTTTGGATTACACGTGTGCATTTCCTGTTTATTCCTTCAACTCTGTTCTTTTTTTTCTTTTCTCTTACCATTTTCTTCATAAAAGAACACATACTTTATAAGAATAATTCAATTGGCAGGAATAACTCACAGCACAATATAAGAACACACATTCAAGAATAGGAGTAGCAGAAATGGGTAGCAAAAACCTTCAGTAGTAAAACTGATAACAGTCACCATTTTTTTTTCATTTTATTATCTGGCTAGTTTTTAGGAATGTAGAATCATAAGCTGAAAACCAACAGAACAACAAGTATTTACATCCAAAACCTATTGTGAAGACAGTCACTTGCCGTTTTCCTTTGGTAGCTGAGGCAAAGCCTGTTCTGATTCATCTATAAAAAGTGGATTCTGAACCTCCATCTCACCAGTCTATAATACAGAATAGAGTTAACAGTTAAGGCAAAATAACATGGTTGATTAAACACACACTACCAGTAGTTATCTACAAATTCAAAAAGTTTTCACATTTAGAAGAGGCAACTTTTTATCTAATAATTCAACCAACCAACTCCACATAAATATCATAGACCATGCAGAAAGTAGTTCATAGAAGTTTACTAAATCCAACAATTACAAGATCAGGAATACATAAACATCATCTGGCAAGTTTAAAAATTACATTTGATATTTTGTAAAAGAATAATAATTATTCAGAAACTCATGCAGTTAAGTAGAAGATGTGTCTATTATAGCTGAATGTTTGATAATAACAATAAACTCTAAAAATACTACATCATACTACCTATACAGCTGATACAAAAAAAAAAAGCAATACTAACAGTACCTTAGCCAGTTGGCATGCATTTTTTCTGCTTGCTGTAAAACACAATAAATCTTTTTTAGAAACATACCAGGGCCAAACCAGGACATTCGTAGACAGTATAATCAGCCTCGTTGTTTTCTTCTTCTTCCGATTCGACATCTGAAGATGACGCAAGTCGACAAGAATTCACCCTAGAAGCAAACACATGCAGTGTTACTATTAGAAAGTTTTCTGATCGACGTTCAATAAAAACATTACAAAATTTTACTAACCACTGGGTACAACTAGTAACTAAGTACATAAAGTTTTCTTTGTACTATATCCTACATGTCATCAAGTTTTGAAAATATGAAACTAACAGCTATAAAAATGATACAATTCACTTGAATTGCAGAGGCCATTGGTTTATTAAAAAGATGATTACAAGTATAAAATAACTGAACATCAAGACATGTACAAACTTTCACTGTGGTAATACCATTCCTTTCATTTGAAGTTCTGATAAAAACTAAAGCAAGAATTCATTATACAACACAGAATTGAAAAAAAAAACTTTGAATAGGAATACACAGTAAAATCAACAGGAATTAACAGCAATTAAAGTTTGGTACTTGTAAGTAATTATAATGGCTGATTATGAAAGTTAGTGTTTCTTAACTCTTTCACTGCTACATTTATAGACAAACAACTCTCCTACTGTCAGGTTTATTTTTGATACACAATAAAAATGGAACATACATTTTTATATTTCATTAGTTATCTGAAAGTGGTAAACTTTGGGGATTTGAAGGGGAATATCCTTTATTCATGGTGGCACAAAATTCCTAACTCTCATAGTAGTACTATATTCAGGGTAACATATGCACGTGCCCACAGCAGTAAAAAGAGTTGATTGAACTAGTTTTGTTCTAAACTGTATATTTTACTAAAAAATTAACAACAACAAAAAAAAAACCACAGGTTTTAATTTTCTTAATCCAGAGTTGGTAACAAGTCATTATTTGCAAGTCTCAAGTCATTTTGTCCAAGTCACATGTCAAGTCATAATGATAAAATGTGTTTGTGGATTAGCCAAATGTTCTATAAGGGAGAAATTGCACTGTGATTTTTTGTTAGTTGGTTATGGAAGCCAAAATAATATACCTTTAATTTCTTTCTACACAGGCTTAGTAATAGTTTGTTTGAAGGGAATCTTTTCCAATATATGTAAATGAAATAAGGTGGATACTGTTACGTACGGAATTTGCCGATGTTTGTAAAGATACTCATGTATTGATAACACAGGCATCGGGTGACGTTTAACTAAAATTTATTAATCAACATTTACACATAAAACAAACACTGAAACAACATCTTACACAATCTTCTTACATAGCCACAGTCTGCACCTCACTTAGCTATTGCTAAGTGATTGATCAATCACAGTAAAAAAACAAAAATGCATCACCAAGT